CAGCATTTGGGTGGGGCTTAGGTTGCTTTCACTTCTTTACCACCAAATAGCAAGCAATAAGAACAACACAGTGGTGATTTTTCCATGATCACGGCGAGCCAGGGCATTTTGAGAACCATTCGAACGAGTAGAGTCACCTTTGTCTTCCTTCTCTTTGTTCTACGTTAAATTTTTCTGGATGCAGGGGACGAAACCGCTTCACCTCCAAACTTCTCTTATTAATTTTCATCTGATGAAAAAGTTGCCTCAAAAGTGGTTTGATGTAATTAATAAGTGTTAAATCTCAGCGGCACACACACAAACATGCATACACAGCACTCCACGGGCTGGATTAGGCTGTGTAGTCGAGGAAAGTAGACAGCACCTAACAACGTCCTATGGGAGCGTAGGTAACTGTGTCACTGGGGGAAAGTGTGTCGTAAACTTTCACCCCATTGTCAGGGCTAGGACAGCGTGAGTCCTCTGAGCAGAGTTGTTTTTTTTTAAGTCTTCAACCTTTTTACAAGAAGAGTTTCATTAACGAGGGTCTGTGGGAACCGGCCTATGGAACCGACTCATCTTTGCTGAGCCCTAAAGACATTTGATTGGCTGTTAGGTTATTATAGTTGTAAGCGGTGGCAACAGTGATTGGATGAACGAGCAAGCCGCCAAGTTGATCACCTTTGTGTTCTTTGTGTGGGATCATAGCGGTTTCAACTGCTTATTTCGTTATTTTCATTTGCTTTGGGATAGAGTTGGGGGTGGGGCTCAAGCCCACGAGCACTTCACTACCCTCTGCCACGAGGGGAATTAGAGAGTGTCTGAGTTCGACTCCAGTGTTGGGATGTTTGACTTGTCTAAAACATTCTGCTGGAATTAGGCCTGTCTGTCTGTCTGTCTGTCTGTCTGTCTGTCTGTCTGTCTGTCTGTCTGTATGTCTCCTCTCTCTCTCTCTCTCTCTCTCTCTCTCTCTCTCTCTCTCTCTCTCTCTGCGTGTGTGTGTGTGTAAGTGTGTGTGTGTGTGTGGTGTGTTTGTCTGTCTCTCTCTGTTTCTCAGTCTCTGACTGTCTCTGTCTCTGTCTATGTCTATG